TACACACGGGATGAACGTGCAAGCTCACGTAAATGCACATGGGATGCACATGCAAACACACGGGGGATGCACACGTGAGCTCATGCAAGCACACACGGTATGCACACACGAACACACACAGGATGAACACGTGAACACACAGGGGATGCACACGTGAGTTCATGCGAATGCACACAGGATGCACACACAAACACACAGGATGCACACACGAACACACACAGGATGCACACATGAGCACATGCGAATGCACATGGGATGCACACACAAGCACACAGGATGCTCACGCAAGTGCACACAGGACGCACATGCGAGCACACGCAGGATGCACACATGAGCACACGCAGGGTGCACACACAAACACACAGGATGCACACATGAGCACACGCGAATGCACATGGGATGCGCACACAAGCACACACAGGATGCACACATGAGCACACGCGAATGCATATGGGATGCGCACACAAGCACACACAAGATGCTCACGCGAGTGCACACAGGACGCACATGCGAGCACACGCAGGATGTACACATGAGCACACGCGAATGCACATGGGATGCGCACACAAGCACACACAAGATGCTCACGCGAGTGCACACAGGACGCACACGTGATGGCACATGGGAGGCACACACAAACACACACGGGATGAACATGTGAACACACATGGGATGAACATGCGAGCTCATGCGAATGCACATAGGACGCACACGTGAGTGCACACAGGATGCACATGTGAGCGCACACGGGACGCACACGCGAGCATACGCAGGACACACACATGAATGCAGATGGGATGCACACACGAGTGCACACAGGACGTACACATGAGCACACATGGGATGCTCACACAAACACACACAGGATGCACACGTGAGCTCATGCGAATGCACACGGGATGCACACGCGAGTGCATACAGGACGCACATGTGAGTGCACACAGGATGCACACGCAAACACACACGGGATGCACACACGAGCTCATGTAAATGCACATGGGATGCACACACGAGTGCACACAGGACGCACACAGGAGCACATATGGGATGCACAAGCGAGCACATATGGTATGAACACGCGAATATACATGGGATGCACACACAAACACGGGATGCACACGCGAGCTCATGCAAATGCACACATGGTATGAACACGCGAATACACATGGGATGCACACACAAACACGGGATGCACACGCAAGCTCATGCGAATGCACACAGGATGCACACGCGAGTGCACACAGGATGCACATGTGAGCGCACACGGGACGCACACACGAGTGCACACAGGACACACACGCGAGCGCACATGGGATGCTCACACAAACACACACAGTATGCACATGCAAGCATACGCAGGACACACACATGAATGCACATGGGATGCACACACGAGTGCACACAGGACGTACACATGAGCACGCATGGGATGCTCACGCAAGTGCACACGGGATGCACACGCGGGCTCATGCGAATGCACACAGGATGCGCATGTGAGCGCACACGGGACGCACACGCGAGCACATGAAGGATGCACACATGAACACATGCAGGATGCACACATGAGCACACACAGGACCCAGGGCTCATGCCCTGATTGGAACA